GAGCAGATGCAGCGCAGCTGTGTGTCATCCCTGCTGCTGGGGAGGGAGGGAGGGATGGGCTTTGCACCCCAGGTGAGCAACGTGCCCGCAGCCAGCGGAGCAGAGGGTGTTTGCATCTGCACAGGGCATCCCCTGCGCTTGCCGGTGTCTCCTGCTCCAAGGCTTGCCCTCATCCCTCACATCACAGATTTACCTTACGTTGTGTATGCCAGAAGCGAGGCCCCCGGGGGTCCTGGCTCATCTGGCTGCTGCTCAGGGCAGGGGGGTGCCAGTCCCCCCAGCCCAGTGCTGGGTTTTGGTGGGGGCTCAGCAGCACAGGGAGCCTCTGAGAACTTCAAAGAGATCGAGCGCAAGAAAATTAGTATTCTCATTTGCACGCTGTGCCGATGGGCTGACTCAGTCTCCAAACTCCTTTCCCACGTGGTGCCAAGGGAAAGTTTCCCCTTGCTAATCAGATCACAAACACTGGCCCTGTGCCCTGCCCGGGAGGTTGCTGCGGAGGGAGATGTTCCTGCGCTGCCCGGGAGTTGGTGCCTCTGGAGAAGCTCTTGGAAAGTCCTGCACGCTGCACGGGTGTCCCTGGCTGACAGCAGCTTTGCAGCCATTAAAAGTCAGAGGACACATCTCTCCCACCAGAGCAGGTCGTGGCTTCAGGGCTCTGAGGCAGAGCGAGGACCAAGGCGTTCAGAGACCAGCTGGAAACAGAAACCTCGGTGCTGTCACTGGAGTGACAGCCCAGCACTGGGTGAGACTGGAGACCTGTCCAGGGGGACCGGGCACATCCAGGCACACACCAGCTCTGCACGTCCTTCTGGGTCCATTGGGGTGTAGGGGTGTTTTGGGGTGCTGCGGGTTGGCGCGGTCCCACTCTGGCAGCATGTGCCCGATGGCTGGAGAGCAAAGGGACAAATGTGGGGAGGTGGCTCCGGGGTGCGTGGGGCAGAGCCCTGCTGGCAGGTACAGGTAGAAGGTCAGAGAAGGTGGGTGGAAACTCAAAAGCTGAGAGGAGGAGGAGGATGGGGGCTGTGCTGTGCAGCTGCCGTCCTTGCCATGCCCAGTGCCTCCCCGGCCCCGTTCGTGGCACCCGTTTTCAGCATCCCCTTCGCCCACAGTTCCCAAAGCAACGGGAGCAGGCGGTTCTCCCTCGGATGCCGTGTCTCCCGCTTGGATGACAGCTTGCCACCTCCAGAGCTTCATCTCCAGGCTTTAATTGATGCCTGTCACGATGCTGAGCTCCCCCGAGCCCGTAGCCAGAGTGCAGACTGACAGCGTTCTGCCATGCGGGACCCTGTGCGGGTTGGCTTCTCTTGCCTTGAGCCCTGTCCCCTGGCGGCATGTCCTTTCTGGTCCCATGGGAGAGAGGACGGAGCCAGCGTGATCTGACCACGTCCTCCAGCACTGGTGGTGTGAGGGGGCTGCCCTTCCTGTAGGGAGATGCTGCAGGAATTCCTCCCACCTCGCCCTGCCCCTTGCCACTCCAGAGAAGTCACACTTTGTGCCTCAGTTTCCCCATTTATAACATCAAGGACAGCATTTGTCGGCACTGCAGAGGAAACATCGTGCATACTCTTGCATTAGCATTTGCTGCTTGCTCTGGGAAGACGGCTCTGTGAATCCTGCAGACGGAAGCGGCTGCTGCCACCCCGGCCCCGTGTTCCCATCCAGCACCATGGCACGAGCCGAGCTCTGAGCCGTCCCCAGCAGATATCGAGTATGGCGCTCGGTGCCTTGGCGGGCTGCCGCGAGGAGCAGGCTCGCAGCATCCACAGGAGTTGATGGGCTGCATCCATCACAACAAATCCATAAGCGCAACTGGGCATAGCCAGTATTTTTTTATTATTTTTTAATGCCTTTAATTTCTCTCTGCCTGTCCATCGGTAGCACGTGGACCAGACTGCTGGGGCTGGTGGATGGATGAGCAGAAGAGGCGAGAGCCCGTTCACAGCCAGTCCCTCCCCCAGGCTGTCCCATAAACACATCTAACCCATAAGGCTCTCCCCCTCCATGGGCACGGCTGCGCTGCCCCGTTCTCGCCCCGCATCTGCAGCTTGCAGCGTGTAACCGAGTCCCCAGTACATCACCTGCCTGAGCCTGACTCGTCCTTGGCTTTTTCCTCTCATGGCACAATTGCATGGCTTTGGCACAGGAGAGAGCTGAGCCCAAAAGCGCAGGGAGGAGAAAGCCAAAGCAAACAGGCAGGCATTTAAAGGCGAAATGCATTTGTTTTGCTTCAGAGGCAGGAGGGAAAAAAAGGCTCTTTTTTTGTGGCTTTTTTTCCCAAATGCTAAGTGGGAGGCCAGCAGATGCCAGAGCATCTGCCTCCTTCCCCAGGCCTTCCAGGTGGCGTTGCCAGTGCCCACCGCAGTGGGGCTGCTCTCGCCCCCGCTCCCGAGTCCTGCCGCGGGGACCCACAAGCAGGAGGGGAAAGATGGCATGCGCGGAGCTCCCGGTGGGACCGGGGCTCCTGGTGGGACTGTGCCGTGGTGTGGGTGGCACTCCTGCCCATGCCAAGCTCGGCTGCGATGCCCACCCGTGGCACTGGGTGCTTATCCACGGTCGTGCATGGGTGTGCACACGTGTGTGTGTGCTGCGGGGGACACGTGAAAGCAGGCTGGAAATGGGGTACGGGCAGGTTGCCTGGGCGACTCTCTGCCTCCTCTGGCCTCTGTCCCAGCTGCCTGTGTCCCAGGCACGAAGCAGGGCTGAGAAGTGGCAGGAAAGGGTAAGCAGGCTAGAAACTTCTTGTAGTCATTTAAATGAACTCATCTGTGCCTCCAGAAAAATCACATCTCGGAAGCTAAGCTGTGGCCCAGATGTTACTTTAGCAAATGTGCTGAGGATCCTCGTCTGTGCGGCAGCCTGTGCCCTGCATTTGTAGGTCAGCAGTAAATCAAAGCTTTCATACAGCTGAGGGTCTGGGGCAGAAGAGCCAAACTGGGAGGACCAGGCTGGTCTCTTGGTGCTGCGGAGCCCCGGGGTGGGGGCTCTGCTCAAGCAGCTGCTCTGCCCCAG